GAGCTTTAAAAAATGTTAGATGTCGGGATCCCTGGGTGGCGCAGTGGTTTGGCGCCTGCCTTTGGCCCAGGGCGCGATCCTGGAGACCCGGGATCGAATCCCACGTCGGGCTCCCGGTGCATGGAGCCTGCTTCTCCCTCTGCCTGTGTCTCTGCCTCTCTCTCTCTCTCTCTCTCTCTCTCATGTGACTATCATAAATAAATAAAAATCAAAAAAAATTAAAAAAAAAATGTTAGATGTCTGTGCAACCTCCAGAATACTACATCAAAACCTGAGGCAGATGCCTGGGGAAAAAATATTTCAAGTGTTATACATGAGTCTGTTGTTAAGAACTAATGAGACATTTAGAGAAATGCAGTTGAACTAGTCCCCAGAATTTAAGAAAAACTCTTCAAGGATATTCAGCTATCCAAATAGTGTAGTCTGTACAAAGCTATACCACAAAGAATCACACAACAGTGTAGGTTGAATGGACATCTAAACAAAAATACTAGAGGACAAAAAAGGGCTGGACACAAATAGGGTCCTTTAAAAACTGATGGTCCATTTTTTTAAATCTTAGTGTAAAAAAGAAAAAAAGGAATTAAACAGCTTCTTAAGTATTCAAGAGTATCAAGTACATATCTTTTCCAGAGAACTCTATTTCTAATCAAAAACTAGAGTGACTGTCTATGAGTATTTTCACTATTTTTTGGTGAAGCAGTTAAAGAAACCTCAACTCCTGATTTTAAATGATGTGCCCAGGAAATATTTTGAGTTCATTTAGTCTGCTCATAAATGAGGGAGACATATAAAACTATGAAAAAATTTTCCTTTGTAGTTCATTTTCTTATTAATTCTCTCTGTACATTCTATAGTAAAATTTACTCAAACCTTGGAGGGAAACATAAGCAAATATTTTCATTGAAAATCTAAGACTGGCAATTTTTTAAAAATTTAGCACTATTTAAAAAAAAAATCTCTCTTCACAGAACTTTTTTCCTTTTCCTATCTCTCCCCGTCACCGTCTCCCCTCCCCCTCACCCCTTCAACGAACCTAACACCTGAAGAAGCAAACACTAGGCCCTTCACAATTTGTCTCTAACAACAGAGGCAATCAAAAATTCCAACAATCCAGATTTCTACTATATAAGCTTGTGTAAAAATAATCCTGTCCAATTTTCATAGCTAATTTTTAAAACTATGAGGTAAGTTCAACGTCTTGCAAATTTGTTCGCTCTGGAAACATAATGCTATAGAATATCAATGTGTGTACCTGGAAAAGTTCTCCAGACTTAAATAAGTTTGAGAAATAAACGGTTGGAGGTGAGTATGTGTTTGTGTGTCTCTTAAAAAACCTGACTTCTGGGGGCCTTTAATATGTTGATATATACTATAAATCTTTAAACCATTAGATACTTATTAACATTTCCCAGAAAGTGTTGTAAATTTATACAAGTGCATGGCAAATGCTGAATTCATTCACAAGTCACTTTTTAGGAATGAAGTTTTTGCTGCTACTTTATATATTCCTTCCTCCTTTGAAGCCTTAAAAGAAAAATGATTTTTACTAAAAATAACCAAGTCTAATTATGCTTTTAGGTCTTAAATGTACGCATGCACAAAAAGTTAAAAGCAACTGTATTGTAAATTACCAATAAATAAGCACTGGATTGGAGGATTACATATATTTTTCATATACTTTTCTAAATAATCCATATTTTCTAATATGATATTATTTTGATAATCAGATATCAAGTTTGTTTTGATTTAGTGACCCATATCTCATCATTATTTATCTCTTTAAATCCATCACAAAATGCACGTTATCCCAAATGAAGGAAATAAAAACAACTAGAACTGCCACTTAGAAAATTATTTTCAAACCTTCTTCCTAAAACACCTCCCTCATTAAATTACTAAAATGGTTTTCTTTCGGGGATCCCGGGGTGGCTTAGTGGTTTAGCGCCTGCCTTTGGCCCAGGGTGCGATCCTGGAGTCCCGGGATCGAGTCCCGCGTCAGGCTCCCAGCATGGAGCCTGCTTCTCCCTCTGCCTATGTCTCTGCCTCTCTCTCTATGTCTATCATGAATAAATAAATAAAATCTTAAAAAAAAAGGTAATCTTTCTGAATTATACATTTACAGTGAAGCAAGGATTATGAAATAGGCACTTACCCCAGTTAAGGTGCTACACCTTACAACATTTTAAAGGGAATACTTCACCTTTATTTTAATATTTCAGCACTTAACATGCATATCTACCAAAATATTATGTAAGTTGCAGGCAAGGAATTTTGTAAAGCCCTTAATATCTGAGAAAAAAATGAATCTTCCAGGCAGTTTTGACACAGTAGCAGAGTATCTGATCGAAACGTAAGAATTATTGGCCGAGGGGTACCTGGGTGGCTCAGTCAGTTAAGCATCTACCTTTCTTGGCTCAGGTCATAATCCCAAGGGTCCTGGGATCAAACCCTGCATTTTGTTGGGTTCCCTGCTCAGCAGGAGTCTGCTTCTCCCTCTCCCTCTACTTCTGCCGCTCCCCCTACTTTGTGCTATCTCACTTCTTCTCATAAACAAATCTTAAAAAAAAAAATTAGTGGCCAAAACTCATTTCAATTTTTCTAAACATTTCAAAAATGGTTTCCAGTAAATGCTTTAAAAATATTTTTAAAAACTAAAAAAAAAAAAAATAGCTTGAAGCAAAAAATATAAGAGAAGTTTACAACAACTTAGGAGTTTTAGTTATAGATCATGTAGTTAGTTGTAAGAACAAAACATTGGGACGCCTGGGTGGCTCAGCAGTTGAGTATCCACCTTCAGCTCAGGGCGTGATCCCGGGGTCCTGGGATACAGTCCTGCATTGGGCTCCCTGCAGAAAGCCTGCTTCTCCTTCTGCCTATGTCTGTGTGTCTCTCATAAATAAATAAATAAAATCTTTAAAAAGCAACAACAACAAAAAGAACAGAAACACTGTTTGGCCAATTTACCTAACCTAAATTATAACTGAATGCAATCAACCAAAATCAGTGCTATTTACACAGTACTTAAATGGAACACTGGAGAGACAAAGTATCCAAATTCTTTATTTATAGCTGAGCATCATATGCAACAAAAATTTTTCTTCTATATGTTAAAATTATTCCATTTATATATTTTCTAATCTTAACTACTTTTTGCATTAATAGCTTAAATTATTCAAGTAGCCTAATCTTCTTGGTGTCAAATATATATTCATTCATCATGAAATACTTATTTGAGCATGTAGGTTTGGGTTTGAGGCCAAATTTTCTATTTTATTATTGTCATCCATAAAACTGCAAAGTCAACCTCCAATTTCATTATAAAATTCATTAAAGGTTCATTATTTCTATCACACTTTATTATTTTCTAAAAAATAATATTGAACACTTCTCAAAAACATAAGATTATGTCTAAGTAATTATCAATCAAGGTATCCTGAACTAGAAAACACAAACATATCATATCCAATAATTGAATATTTTCTCATTTTTAGAAAAGACATTAAGTTTTTTCATTAAGTTTTTCATTTCATTTCATTTTCATACCAACAAGAGTATCTATGTATTTATGTATATTCACCCCTCAGTATGTACCCCCTTGGTTTGGCTGAAATCTCTGATCTTAATGAAATCATGGGTGGTAGAAAGCACTTCACCTGAAATATCATTATTAATAAAAATGTACCTTCCCTTTGGGGTATGTGGGTAGCTCAGTCAGTTAAGTAGTTGACTTGATTTAGGTTCAGATCATGCATGATCTTGGGGTCCTGGGATGGAGTCCCACATCCAGCTCCATGCTCAGTGGGGAGTCTGCTTCACAATTCTCTCTTCCTCTGTTCCTCCCCCTGCCACCCTTTAATATAAACAAATCTTAAAAAAAAAAAAAAAAAACACCTTTCCTTGCATAAGCCTTTAATACATTAGGAACAAGAAGGATAGAGATAGGTCGTTTAAAAGAAGAAAAAAAAAATCAACCCTACCATAAGTGGCAACATCAGGGAAACACTCATAAGTAGAGTGATACGAAAGTACCTAAAAATGTACAACTAATTTTCTAAGAGCTAGCACATTTTGCATAACTATTCAACATATTTGCTTCTAAAAGACAAGACACTATATGATTTTATTCACGCAAAATTATTCTTAAAAAAAACTAACCTATGGTGATAGAAATCAAAAGTGATTTTGTGGAGGAGGGGTACTGACTTGAAAGTGTCACTAGGGAATTTGGGGAATAATGGAAATGTTCTATATTTTGTTTGGGATGAAAGTTAACAGAGGTGTGTGTCTCAAAAATCATGAACTAAACCCAGCATCTATATATTTTATTATATGTTAATTAAACCTTACAGACCAACTCATTCTAGTACTGGGAATCAAGGACCTGAGGCTGAAAAGCTGACCAGGTTTCGAAGGTCCTTAAAAATTGGGGCTTCACAGAATGGTTTACTTGGCTTAAAAATGAATTCTTAGAATTCTATATACTATCATAATCTAATATAACTACAAAGATTTGTCCCAAAGCAACTCTAAGATTATGTTCTTTTCTCAATTATTACTTCCATTACTACAGATGATGCAGATGCATATTCAGGATTTACCATATCATTAGTCAAAACAATGGGAAATTAAAAGTCAAGGCTCTCATTGTTACTTTCCAAGTCATCTTTTGTCAAACATCTATAATGACATAAACATACATTACTACTTCTTTTAATCACCTGAGAAGGAAAAAACTCAACTGTAAACAGAAAAAAAATTTACCACCAAAAATACTAGACATTGGCACAGCACTAAACTTAGCACTTCCAGAATGAACTGCCAGGATAGCATGAGAATTCAAATAACTCAAAATGTTGATTTCTCAACCACTTTCCCAATTTCCCACACCTCCCCCAAAGAAATTAACTTTGAAGAGTTTATTTGATTAAGCAAAATTTGAAAGCAGAAGGATTAAAAAGTGAAAAAGGTGGTGCAGAAATTAGCAGAGGTGGCACTACCTGAAAGCTCATCAGAAAGGGGAGTGAGAACAATATCAGGCAAGAAGGGTTTGGAAGTATGGATCAGAACAGGAGCACTTTTAGCACTGCGTATATAGGCCGATGGCAGAGCACATTCACCAATGGATCGGCTTCTCATGGCTTTAAAAAGGAAAAGAAAGAAGTGGGGAAGGAAAAAAGAAGAGTGACTATAATGAAAGGATTGTGTCACAGAAAAAGCAGCAACAGAGAAAACTAAAAGATACAAAGGAAGGAAATTTTAAATTAAAACATTTCAGCACGGCAAATACTGGCAAGCTGTAAGAAAGAAACCAGAGAACACATGACATTTCGAATGTAAAGTTTTTGGTGTAAAGCAGGAAAATGCTTTTTATTATTTGCAGTTACAATAGTATAGCATTAAAAAATCAGTAGATACTTTAAATTAGCTTATATTCTCAAAACCAAGGGTTGAAAATTTCATTGAATGGAAACCCTAAAAAGAACTCAACATTATTAGTTGAAAGAAATTTTTGGTGCTATATTTGGGCATTTCTCTGAGCCATTATGAGGCAATTCCAAGTCATTCTTCTTAATGAAGCTCAATTCCAAAAACAAATCATTTCTACTTTCATACTCTTCCGTACAAAGTTTCAAAGTCACCCCTAGATCATTTTAGAAACATTTTATGAAATTCATAATCTAAAGAACCTGAATCTCATGGTTAGTATTTGAACATGGGAGGAAAAGAATGCTTACTCAAATTAATATCTCTTATTTACATTAAAGTGTAACATCATACAGGACACCTGGATGGCTCAGTCAGTTAAGCACTGGGACTTCAGCTCAGGTCATGATCCCAGGGTCCTGGGATGGAACCCCATATGGTCCCTTCTCAGTAAGGAACCTGCTTATCCCTCTTCCTTCGTCCATCCCCTTGTGCTCTTGCTCTCTTTCAGATAAATTTTAAAAAATAAAGTTTAACAGTATAATTTAAATTTTAAGTAGAAATATTTACAGAAAATAGAATTTGCAATCTAGATGAACAATTAAGTCATTGAGAAAAATAAGTTAGTGCTAATTCAAATCTTAAGCATAGAATATAAAAACTCTAAAGATTAAGTTCTTAAAGATAACTTAAAAACTGGATTAGTTTTCAAAAATTATATTTGTAGTTGCACTTTGTAGTCTCTTATAAGGAGGCACCAGTTCATACAATTAAAGACAAATTTTAGCACACTTAGCAATAAATTAATGATCTCTAGTTTATACTTCCTAAACATTTTTTAAACTTAACTTTTAGTGTAGAGATTCTTAAACAAATGAAGGTATGTATATTGTTATGTATGAAGAGAGGACTTAAAAGAAACAATATTGATAACATCCAGTATAATAGGAGTGCTTTAAAAAAAAATCTGAGCATTAATATCAATTCAGAATCTTGGGTTTTCCTGGTTAATGGAAACTCTTGGTTCCCTGATGCCTAAATTCATTAACTTGTCACACAAGGCCCATGTGACCTGGCTGTAATAATCACTGCAATTGCATCTTCTCCTCCTGTTCTCACATGCTGCTGCCACAGAGAATTTTACACTGTTCCCTGAATTTTTCATGCTCTTTCACAATACGGCTTTGTGAAATTTGTAATGTTCTTGGTCTTCCTTCTGACTCTCCTTCTCATTCAAAATGTCATCTCATCTATGAAGCTCTTCTGACACTGCCACGTAATTAACTTATTAGCAATATAGTAATGTACAAAACAGTTAAGAATCCCTGCTTTTGCAAAGCTTACAATCTATTTTTTGTGGACTGTGTGTTTTTTATGTCAGCCTCCCAACTTTTCAAACACAACTATATTCTCTGACCTTTATAATCCTAGTTTTTGGCACATATGAGCTCAATAAATGTTTACTGAATGAATATCTGTATTTGGGGAATCAAGCATAATTTTTTGAAAACGGCTTTAGTTGTGAACATATAGAGGAGAAAATCAAAACAAAATACTTGTTTTAAAACTAAATTGATTCTTTTAAAATGAATTTGATTCAATTTTCAACTCTATAGAAGGATTACAAGTTTTCTTCTGTTTTTTCATTGAGTTACATAATTCCTTGGAAATAACAATTCCTTCTGTTTGTTCTCTCCTACCACCAACTTGAAGGAAGAACTTGAGCATTTCTCTTGGAACTTTCCATAATCACAGTGGTTTAAGTTCGTTATGATCCTAAATGAATTCTACAAAAATGCACCTCTCTATTTTTTCACTACAGGTCTTTATGCACACCTGAAAATCTGTCCAGTGTCTCACAGCATGTAACCTGCACTATAGAAAATTACTTATAATGAATTAGCTACTAGGAATTTTGGGGATTTACTAATCTAAAGCTTAGGTCAGAAATCTCCAGAAAGCCACTGAAATTCCTACTGCCACATTCACTACTAAGTCACACAGACCACTGATCTTAAATCTGTAATATGTGTTTTATATAGATGAAAGGGCAGTATAAGAAATATAACATCAAAAAATTAAAAACATATTTTCAAGCATCTAAGCACGCCAATTTTTGAAGGTTTTGTATCTTTTTCTTCCCAAAAAATGAATAAAAAAGAAAAATAGATGTATTCCACATAAATTCATCATGGATCATAAAATACACGCATTATGTCAAAAACTGTAACCTTCATTCAAGAGTTGTCATGCAGCAGAGGAAATTCATGAACAGCAAGTGTATTCACTAAAAGCACCCAAACACAAAACAAATAGAAGGCAGGCAAGTCTGGCCTTTTCTCACTTCTAAACCACTACACATACTTCTCATATTTATCATTAAATAAAATTCGTATCATACATACATGTATCTCCACTGGCAGAAATATCTTTATAAGTCCCCAAACTAAGGTCCAATATTATGAAAAACATAAACTAAGAGGAAAATCTGAAAACAGAAACAGTGATGTATTTGTTCCAACATGAATATCATAACTAACTTCTTACAAACTCACTCTAAAGTAAGTCTAAAGTATCTCCTTTAATAATGTGATGGCATAAGCAAAATCTTAGAAGTAGTGATGAAGGACTTACTAGAATGTATACACTTTATCATAGACTGAATTTTTACCTGGGTACACTCACTACAGATATAAAATTTTTAAAAATATTTCAAGAAAATATATACTCAAACACCATCTTAAATTAACCTGCTGCTCTTTTCAGTATTTTCCAACTTATGCAGGTATTTTTCTGAACAAAATTTTTAATGCTTCAACTTTTTATTTGATAGGTTTGTTTAATGACCAAGCCAGACAAGGTTGTTCTGGCATAGGTACCAGAAAATAATCATAGGTATGAATTTAAGATGAGTACTTTGCTTACTATGTTTTTTAAAGATTAGAAATATGCCAACATGTTAATGATCATTTCTCATTAGACAGTTCATTGATGCTTCCTTAAATTTCACATTCCACATTAAGCATAAATTACTTCTATAATCAGAAAAATTATATGAGGAACTCTAAAAAAAAGGTATGTTTTAAGTAAAACAAAGTAAAATTTTAAACTTAAAAGAAGTCTGTCCTAACCAATACACAAAAATTTTCATTAAACCTGACATTAATATAAAATGAAGGCATTTCAGATGTAATCAACATCTTAATCTCAAAAAGTGATTCTATGCCAAAACTTTAAATATATAATTTTAATTCTCCCATACCCTTTTTCCTTGTATCATTTCTTATTTTTGCTTGACATAGACAATCAATGTAATTCTATGCTTATTTTACAGGCAGAAAACAATTTTGAAAATATAATTCTTTTGAAGGATTTAAAATTAACTGTTATTTTTAATTGTTTTAAGTCTTTAAAATTAATAGTGTCTTTCACTTATTATCATTAAATATAGATATATTTCCACAAAAAATGCTCCTGCCACAAAAATCATAGACTCTAGGGGTGCCTGGGTAGATCAGTTAGTTAAGCATCTGACTTCAGCTCAGGTCATTATCTCAGGGTTCTGGGATCCAGCCCTGCGTCATGCTCCCACTCAGCAGGGAATCTACTTCTCCCTCTGCTCTTCCTCCTGCTCACTTGTGCACATGTACACAGGCACACATGTGTTCTTTCTCTCAAATAAATCTTTTTAAAAAATCATAAATTGTAAAGCCTAAAGTAATTTCAAGCAATTTTGTTTCAGGCATATAAGGTATGCCTAATAAAGGTATTCCTAATAAAGCCTACGAAGAGTTCAAGATTACCTAGCTGTTCAGTGATGAAAGAAAGAAAAAAAAATAGGACAAAGCCTTTATATTTTTCATTGCAGTATTCTTTCTACTACAATTCAGACCAAGAGGAAGAGAAATAAGATAGTAGCTAGGGCCAAAGCATACTGAGTGATCCTATATCCAGAAATTCTTCCCATCATTGCTCATTGCTGCTACTTCCAAGATTACAGAAGTTTCTTCCATGTCTGTTAAAAGCTGCAAGGAACCTAACAACATACTCTAACTTGGTCTTAGCTATCTGCAAGCATGAATTCCAATCTAAGAATTGCAGCACTGAAAATCAGCTACCCTTATTTTCCATGTTTGTGAGTATATTCACTTAGTAGAAACTCTACCAGTTAATGTGTGAGTTCTGTAAAGTGAATCAGAGTTCTATTTCGATTCTGTAAAAAAACAGTTTAAAATTACTGATACCTACAGTAAAATAAGCTACATAAAAATGGTAATGTAAGATAAATCTTAATAGCAATGGATAACACAGCCTGTTGTCAGACTCTTGAGTACCCCTGAAGAAAAGGTTTTGCTATAGAAGTTTTTTCTTTAACGACCAAAGCTAACTGATAAGAAAATTATACATGTACATACATTATCACTAAGGACTATAAACGTATTGCCCTGTACAATTCTCATTATTTTAAAGAATACATACCAACAGTTTTTTGCCGTACTATACTCCTTGCCTTTTCGGTTCCTGGGGAACCAGTGGTTGTTGCACTTCTCTGTCTCATTGGGGCTTGGCCAGGCTGATCACGACTCCATCCTCTAGAAAATGACTTGTCAACTGAAACTTTCTGAAATTCATGTCCAACTCCTAGAAACGTAGATTTTCAATCTCAGTATACTGTCACCTGATTAATAATCTCTTCAAATCATGCATGCTACCTTGCCTCAGATTTTCAGGTTTACTGGAAATGTATTATAAAGTATCAAGTGAAACATCTGTGTACTGTACGTAAGGCTTTTCTGAACTTCAATTTACATAAAAATCATATTCCAAAACTGATATGAAATTCTAAAATACAACCATCAGAAATAAACTATTATTAAAATCCTTTGCCATCCACTTATTCCATTAAAAAAGAAACATTTGGATAGAGAAGCAAAAAAAATTTAAGAAATGAGATAACAAAGCCATCCTGTGGTGGAAGTTACTAAATCTCTACCTGCCAATAATACCAGTTGAGAATAAATAGTCCAGGAAAAAATATTTTGGTCACATAATTAACATCGATGGACTACTGTTAAATATAAAATGTGGACTCAGATATAATCTCTAGCTAGCAACTACTTAAAAATGAAAAATACTAATACACCAGATTATAAAAACACGTATTAGCAATATAATCACTATGTTATTGTCCCATTATAAAAACCCGTATTAGCAATATAGTCACTGTTATTGTCCCTCTCCCCTTTTTTTTAACACTCAAGAAAGACATAATCCACATCTAGGGAATGTCTGCTTTCAGTTAAAACTAAGAAAATGTTTTCAAAAGAATTTCTCAGATAATTCTCTTTAAATAGAGTAACATGAAATCACCTTATAAATTCTAACCAAAAAAAAAAAAAAATGCATATGATAAAAATGAGCAATTTATAAATTTCCATTTTGGTTAATCATTAAAAATATTTAAGATTCTAAATTGTTTATTTAAATTTAGCTAGATATATACAGAACACTTTATTTCTCATCAAAATTACTAATGATTTTAAGAAATGATTTCAAGAAAAATTACAAGGTACCTACATGTTTTATTACTGAAAATTTTTAATCTGGAGGGTAAATGAAGGAGGGAACAGTTAAGAGAAAACAACTTTTTACCCTCACCCATCTTCCTAACTTAATTTTCCTAGACCAAATTATTTAAACAAATTTATGTGAAGCATCTTTATGGACAACTCTTACCTTTCCCTTTGTGCTTTTTTTGCTTCTGTTCACTCAACTTATCCAATGGTAAATCACTGAGATCCAAACTATATAAATTTCTAGCTAAGACTTTAGTTAGTGTTTCCATAGTCAGTGACCACTCAGTGGCTAACTCTTCCCAATAGGTCAATGATGATAATACAGAGAGTAAGTCATCCCATAGTTCTCGAGAGATGTATACATTTAGATTTGCTTTGATCCAGGCAACTATAAGAGTCTATAAAGACAAACAAATAACAATGAAATATGTTCAAATTCAGATATTTAATTATTAATAAAAACTAAAAACAAGCAGAATTTTAAATCACATAATATCCATGATCCTTTCTTGGTACATAATACTTATAAAGGAATTCATGCAATCATTAATATCTACTATAAATTTCATTTTAACAATTGTCACACTCAACAATCTAGCAATTAGGACAAGATATCAAAACTGAAAAGAACTATCTCTGAAGTTGTAACTATCTTTTATGCTGTATTACATTAATATTAAATAAACGCTGCTTAAAGAGTCTCCACACTATTAAAAATTTGAATTACATTGAAATTATTTATGAATGCTTATTGAGCTAAATTGACCAAAACCTACATTCTGTAACTGAAGATGAAAATCAGTATACAATTTGAATATTCTAAAAACAAAAGTTACTAGAAACATACTTAAGAGATGTTTTTGAAAAATTGTATGTAAGAATAAATTTAATTTCATTTTGAAGATACAAGAAAAATTAAAAGTTCTATAAAAAAATCCAATCATAGGATAAAAAAATTTATTCACTGAATGGCAGAAATTAGTGATCAGCCATTACCCCTGAGACTTTATGGATTTCTACTGAAGATAAAAAAAAACTACTATTGAAGAAACAAGTACCAAACAAGTACCAAAGAGTTTTTCAAAAGCTTAACTCTAAATTCTACTAAGGAATTCACATACATTTATATATTAAATGTAAGATGAAAATGAGCAGAGTGTACAGTAAAGTAATAACTAGTGATTCTTAATTCTATCTTTAAACATTCACATTACAAAAAAGTTATTCCATATAGCAAGCTAAAATTTTGCCTTCCTATGGTTCCAACAGTGGATTAGTTCTAACAATTGGGAAATTTTTTTAAAAAGGGCTAATGAAGTTAAGAGGAGTTTAGATAATAAATGTAACAGGTTTCAAAATACTATTCACTACCAGCATAAAATTTCAGGCAAACAAGAAAATTTTTTGAAAAATGATTTGAATAACTATACTTATGGCCAAGACTTAGATCTGAATAGCTTTTTATCTTTGATATTAAGAACCATTTTATCCATGTATTTGTATTTAATGTGTCATCTTAAGAACATATTATTTTGCTGTTTTCCAAGGAATCCGTAATACATATAAAGTCAGGTTAGGAAACACAATACGTAATTTTTATATATTTAAAACTACCACTGATATTTAAAGAAGTGAATAAAGTCTTACAGAACAGCCTGATAAGAATCATGATGTATTTTTCCATTACTACAGAAAAACTTAAAAGAAAGTTTTGTTTTTCTAACAATGCCAGAAACTTGGAAACTCATAAACCAAACAATCAGACCATTCATTACTCATGAAGCTCTCTGGCAGCTTTCTGAGATCATGTAAGCATGCCACATAAGAGAAAAAGTTAAATATCGTCAGCTTGTTTCAATGCTTTTTTCACAGACCTGGTATTTCCTCCACTCCTACTAGGTTGTGAGTTTCTATGAATGGCAAATAGCCTATAGATAAGCAACTTTTAATTTAGTTCTACAAAAGATCCTTTAATATGAAACAATCTTTATTTTAAAGCTTTTTCCCCAAGTAACAGGTTCAGGGCCCAGTGAATCTTATAAAAATACATATCTATCCATCTATTTTATTTATTTATTTATTTGTTATTATTGCCTGGAAAAGTGGTCCTGCAAGTCGACCTGCCAAGGTCATATTTTTTTTCCCCTGGAACTGTAGAAAAGCTTGTGATGGCATCTTCAGTACAGACTCCGTGACTCTGAGCAACACAAGCAGCATCTGTTCCCTTAAAGTAAAAAAATTAATTAATGTTTCCTTCATACATAGGTTTGTTTTTGGTTAATGAATAACTTTAAAATTAATATTTGTTATAAAATATATTATCTTTCAATAAGTCAAATATCAAATGTCTTTCAAATTTTTAGAATTCTTTAATTATTAAAATTTAAAATTCCATTTTATAAACTATACCAGCCATTTTTAAACCATTTTTCAGTTACAAAACCCTCTCATCAATTAAAAATTTATGCAAAAGCTGATGACATGGCAGGTGAAAATGTGGAGACTGCTCCAATCCCCCGACCCAACCCCCAAAATCAAGTAGTAACCTTAGGAAGCTGTTTGAAGAACATTTCTTCTATCTATACAATATAGTTCTACCATGATGCCTATACATCTAATCCATCTTTATAATATGGAGAACAAGCACAGATCCAGAAGTATACCAGGTGAAATTTCAAAAACTGTAAGATTTTTAAGATTAATAGGTCACAATGATCCTGACAGGTAATCAAGGACCATCAACCACTCTTTTGCCTTTTTCCATTCTTTTAAGTTTGGCCAGTTTTAAGCTCTGTACTCTCCTTGTGTACTCCCAATCAAGACAATCCTAATATTAGTTCTACTCTGCCTCTTTCTCCTAGATGCTTATTATTAAGACCAGGTGCTTATTTGTACCTAATAATTTGGAAACTGATTCAACCACATGCGAAAAAGGGTATTTCAGTTTGGTTGTACAGCCAGGCTAAGAGCCCAAGTCCCTATCACAGCCCTCTCTCTGATTCGTCTGCAGACCCACTCTAGGCATAGTAATATGTGGGACAGTCCATGTGAGAAATGTGCCAGAGGCAGCAAGAGATCACAAGACCTAGATGTCATCATTTTTTGGGAAGTGAACGCAGAATCAAATAGAAAAGTATCACTCAATGAAAAATATCCTGAATTTATTAATAAATAAATACATGCACTTATTCATAAGATAAAAATCAAAGCTGCCACATTTGTAATCTTAGGCTTTTGGCTTAGCTGTATGAAATGAAAAGCTTTTTGAAATCAACTACATATGCAATAAAGCACAGACTTTCCAAATAAATCTTAGCTGATTTGTGGTCAAATCAACTCATTCATTTATAACTTTTCACTTTGTAACATAATAATAATTCATAAAATCTCATAAATTCAATGTAAATATATGACTAATCTCTCATAATTGACTTCAAGGGAACTTACAATTTTTTTTTAAATTCTAAAACTGTGTTCCATATAGCAGGCCACTCACTTTTAACCTGGCTCAACAGCACTGATGTAAAGTACATTTAAAAAAAAAAAAAAAAAGGAAGGAGAGTGGAGACTAACAAAAGAATGGTCAAAGTAGAACAGTTACTAGATAATAACCTAGGCTCTGAAGTCTGAAGGACAAGTTCAAATCTCAGCTATGTCAACAAAGATAAATGAACTAATTTCTTTGCACCTAAGGATCACCATATAAAATAGAGATGTTATCCACCTGAGGGAGTGCTACAAGGATTAAGATAGAAAATGCATGTATAGTGCTTAACAAGATACCTGGCATAGAAAAGTGTTCCAATTAAGCTTAATAACAAACTACTTCTGGTGGGATTATATCAATGCTAATAAAGATTTTTTTCAAAGTAAAGCCATGTTTTCATATGCAGCAAAACATGTATTAGGCATACTCTTTCACTAAGTACTTCCATTTTTTAAGAATAAGTCAAAGGAGAAAAATTATTTATGTATAAGGATGATCACTCTTTTTCCCTCCACCCAAAAACAAAATGAATAAACTACACATTCATCAAAAGGGGACTGGTTAAGAAAATTATGGTACAAATGGCATAATACTATGTGACTACATGCATGGTTTGGGGAACCAGATATATATTCACCAAAGGGCAAACAATGACTACTTCCAGAGAGTGAGTTTTGGGGCAACTTCAATTTTCTTTTTAAAACTCTTCTTTGTTTTTTATAATGAAAATGGATAATTTTTACAAAAACAGAATAACTGCTCTTTTTCCCAAAAGGCCTATTTTTCCATTCAATTAAATATTTATAGCATACAGGGATGCCTGGGTGGCTTAGTGGTTGAGCATCTGCCTTTGGCTCAGGGAGTGATCCTGGAGTCCTGGGATCAAGTCCCACATCGGGCTCCCTGCATGGAGTCTGCTTCTCCCTCTGCCTAGGTCTCTGCCTCTCTCTGTCTCTCATGAATAAATAAAATAAAATCATTAAAAAATATATTTATAGCATACAAATAATATATAAAATACTATGCTAAGAAATTCAGGAAATAGGGATCCCTGGGTGGCTCAGCGGTTTAGCGCCTGCCTTTGGCCCAGGGCATGATCCTGAAGTCCTGGGATCAAGTCCCACGTCGGGCTCCCTGCATGGAGCCTGCTTAGGTTACCTCTGCCTGTGTTTCTGCCTCTCTGTGTCTCTCATGAATAAGTAAGTAAAATCTTAAAAAGAAAAAGAAAAAAGAAATGTAGGAAAACAAAGACAACAGACATACTTTGACATTTTAGGGCCTTTCAATTCAGAGGTAAACAGACATTTATACAAGTAATTTAAGGATTAGGTCGATTTTGAAAAGAGCTATAACAGATACAAATACATGATGAAAGCAGTGAGGGGGAAAATTCAAGTAAGAAGATGTGGGAAAAGGAAGGTGGAATCTAAAGATAGCTATTGTGACAAAAGAAAAAGATAGCAAGAATAAGCTATTCAACAGAAAAGTTTCTTTCTGTGCAAGAAAGAGGAATTTGTTAAGCTAAAAGCCAAATCCCATTATGCATGGGAAAGTTTAGGTTTGAGAGAAGGATAGAAAAGTAGGCAGGGACTTCAATGTACATGGCCCTGAATGCCAGGTCGAGGAATCAGGCATTCATACAATCATTTACTTATTCTTTTATTTACGCATGCATAAATTCATTTATTCACACACGTATTCATTCCTGAGAGTGGTGGGGGGGAAGGCATCACATGTCCACTTTAGAAAAATAATCCAAGAAGGCTGATCAAAGATGTCTTCTGAGATAAAGTGGAGACTATTATCATCATAACTATTACATAAAAGATTTACTAATTGAAGCCTTTACAATATTGTGACAAGCCCTGTTTACAGATGCTATTCCTCTGAAAATTACTATAATTATATATACACAATTAAAAATAAAGGATAAATATTTTTTACCAAGTCTTTTTGTCCATTGATACTTGTACAACCATGAACCGATAAATGTTAAGAATGCGTTTACACATATCTGTGTGCTCATCCAGAAGGTTTTTAATATCATTTGCAGGTTCAAGAAGAAATATGTTTGATGAGTTTATAATAAACACCTAAGACAAAAGAAATGATTAGCTATTCATTATAAAATTAAAATTTATCAAATAAAAATTAAATTCAGATGCTGATCACTACGTGATCTACAATGAACTTAAAAGCATAAGACTATATATAAGGTTAATTCTGACCCTATCTCTATCAACTAGGTTGACAGGTGAAATTTAAACCCATTAAAACATTTTGTTTTTATGTTAATCCAGACAAATATAAAATCATTACTAGGCACCCAAGGAAAATAAACCAAGTGAAAAACAGAATTTTTTAAAACTGAGAGCTTTAATATAATTGCTGTCATAAAATGAAAGGAACTATAAAAACACAAAGAGTTTAGGATAAAAGATGATACCTAAATCAGGAAGAATTTTCAGAATAAGGTGTTCAATATCCTGTTTCATGTTTATAGGCCATGTATTTATCTGCTTTAGTAATAATAAACTGCATGAAGAGAAAGAGTACTACTGAGGTGCCATTAATATGCATCTTTTATTATAGAAAATTTTAAAAATTATAATTAAATCATTAATTATATTCTGTTATTGAAGAGAAAGTAATTATAAGGGTGACAGGTATGTACAAAGGTTCTCGAATACCTTGGAGGTACAGAACATTTCATTTACTGTGAACCTAGGACATTTACATCTTCTATACCCATAATCCTGATATGAATCCCTGGATGAACTACATAATAAAACATAGTTGTAAAATCATGAGAGAAAAGAATATTATGCTAACTTTAGAATACTGAAAGAGATAAATCTGTAATTCTAGCCAACAATGATCAAGAAAAACATGAGGCATAAATAAAACAATAATTAGAAATAAAACAAGGACATAATTATGAGCAATTTGGGAGGAAATTATTCCAAAAAAGTAAAAAGCAAGTTTAAAGGACCTGAGGTAAAAGCCTACATAGCATGTTTGAGGAACAGCAAGGAGTGCTAAAGTGGGGAAGCAGTTGGGAAATGATGTTGAGAAACATAACCAGAGCATGTGAGGCAGACTGCCTCACTGCCAGTGGTTAAAGAGTAGGTTTTCCCCCTAAACTTTGCAGACCAATCCTATTGTAAAACAGGATAAAAATAAATAAGGAAAATGAAGACATACAAAAATATAAACAAAATTCATCAAAATCAAGGAATATTAAATGACTTAGTTTTTAAACTCTCTCAATTTTGAAATTATCTTGTAGGCCAGAACTAGTCTGGACCACACCTTGAGGAGCAATGATATAAAGCCTTATAGACCATTAAAGACTTCTGCTTTTATGCTTAGTGATAATGCAAAGTCAGCGGAGGGTTTTGAGCAGAAAAATGGTTATGATCTGACTTACACTTTACAGGATCCCTCTGGCTACTGTGTTGAGAATACACCACAGTGATAGGTGGGCAAAAGCAGAAGCAAGGATACTAATTAGGAGTTTATTGCAATAATCCAGATGAAAGATCATGGAGGCCTGGACACAAGAGGTGGTATAAATGCTGAATAGATTCTGCATACATTATGATGATGACCAGGACGTGTTATAAATTAGATGTACAATATAAAATAAGATGGGAGGGGGATCCCTGGGTGGCGCAGCAGTTTGGCGCCTGCCTTTGGCTCAGGGCACGATCCTGGAGACCCGGGATTGAATCCCATATCAGGCTCCCAGTGCATGGAGCCTGCTTCTCCCTCTGCCTATGTCTCTGCCTCTCTCTCTCTCTCTCTCTGTGATATTATTTATATATATATTATTATATATAAATTATATATATATATTATTATATATATATAAATAAAATAAGATGGGGGAGGGGTACCTGGGTGGCCCAGTCACTTCAGCATCTGCCTCTTGTTTTTGACTCAGGTCATGAGATAGAGCCCTGTGTTGGGCTCTGCGTTCAGTACAGAGTCTGCTTGGATTTCTGTCTCCCTCTGCCCCTCCCCCTTGCTTGCTCTTGTGCATTCTCTAAATCAGTATGTCTTTAAAATAATAAAAATAAAAAATAAAAGCAAACAAAATGGCTTGAACATCTGGAAAACAGGTGTTATAAATGAAACAAGGAAAACTGTAGTAAGAGCATGTTTAAGGCTAGTTTCAGACATGTCAAGTTTGAGATGTGAAGTGTGATATCCAAGTGAAGATGCTAACTTAGCATTTGAATAATTGAGTTTAAGACTCAGGGGTGCCTGGGTGGCTCAATCAGTTAAGTGTCTGACTTTGGCTCAGGATATGTTGGGTTCCCTGCTCAGCAGGGAGTCTACTTCTCCCTCTCAAAGGAATAAAATCTTAAAAAACAAAACAAAACAAAACACGACAACTACTAGAGTTCAGACAGGAGGTCTCAGACTAGAAATAAAATTGTAGATGATCCACCATATAGATGACATTGAAAGCCGAGGAATTAATGAGATGAGCCAGAGAGTAAGTAGAAAATAGATCAAAAAACTGATTTTGGGCACTTTAACAATGAAATGATCAGGGACATAAAAAAAAAAATCAGTAAAAAGATTCTGAGAGGTGGCCACTGAGTCAGGAGAAAAACAGGAGGGAAGCTATTCTGAAGGCCAAGTAAAGAAGAGTTTCAATAGGGAGGAAATATTCTATTCTATAAAACGCTCCTGTCAACTCCATTAAGATTGAAAAATATACATTTGGAGCACCTGGGTGGCTCAGTCTGTTAAGCATCTGACTCTTGATTTTGGCTCAGGTCATGATCTCAGGATCATGAGATCAGTCAGGCCCAGTGTCACACTCCATGCTGAGCGTGGAGCCTGCTTAAGATTCTCTTTTTTTCTCCCTCTGCCCCTCCTCCCTCTACTTGCACATGCTCTCTCTCTCTCTTAAAAAAAAGAAAAAAGTGTACATCTGATTTAACAATGTGGAGGTCACATGTGGCCTTAACAGGAACAGTCCGATTTTAAAAAATGAATAACTGTAATGAACTCCTACAAACCAAGAAAAAGACACCCCAACAGAATATAGGAAAAGCATATGAATAGAATAGGCAATTCATAAAAAGATACTCAATTTCAGTACTGATGAAGAAAAAGCAAATTAAAACTAGGAAACACAAACTAAAAAAAATGAAAACATTTCGTATACATGGGGCAGCAAAAATTAAAATGGACCCTAAGTAAAAGGGAAAGATACAAGGAAATGAGAACTCACACATTACTAAAGGAAATGTAAATTATTAGAACTATGTTGGAGGACAATTTGGCAATATTGGTAAAGTCAGGATGATAATGTACAACTCCTCCAACCCAGTAACTCCAGTTCTGGGTATATGTTCTAAGGAAATTCTTCCACATGTGCAAAAGAAGTACATAGGTAAGAATATTCAATGTAGCACTATTTAGGATAGGGAAAAACTGGAAACAAAAAAATCAACAGAAAAATGAATAAGTAAATAATCATGAAATAAGTAAAATACTAGAAAACAACACATATCAACACAACTCAAAAACATAACGGTTAATGCAAAAAGAAAGTACCAGATGATGGGACACCATGACACAATTTACACAAATTTGTCTGTAAAAGTAGTATGTAATATTTACCAATACATATTTATTAGGAAGTTAAAGTTAAGGAAAAAACAAAATTAATATTTTATAATGAAAACTGACAAATGTGGATGTTGAGTTTATTAAAAAATTATACCGTACAATGAAATACTGAACCATATATTTGAAATATTTAATGATTTTATTGTAATTTTTTTTTCTTAATAACCAAAAAGTGAACCACCTGCAAAACTGCCTGGGTACCAGCTCGTATGTTTTGTTCTATGATTTCTTCGGAGGCATTATGAAGAACATCTTGGTAGGTGCCATTTTTTGCCCAAGAAGAATTTCGAACATGATCAACAATATCAGTCCCATTTTCCTAAAGAGAAATATCAAGTTTTTAATTTTCATTATAAATACTGCAACAAGAGAGTAAGCTGAAGAAGTAAACTGGAAATTATCGAGTCCTTCTGCTTAGCATCTTCTTAGAAGATATTTCACTGGATTAGAAAAGCAATGTATGTTCACTTTTAAAAAAAAGGTTCTTCTAATTGACAAAAATATAAAGAAAATTTTAAAACATCCAAAGGGTCAGATAAAATTTTTAACATTTTAGATACAGAGACATTTTTCTATGTATCTAATCTCCCTTATGTAAATAAATCTCCCTTATATAACTTACACATTTAAAAACAAGATTAATGTTACCTAAAAGTCTGTAAAATATGACTTTTGTATTAAAGTGAATGCCAGAAACCAAACAAATAAAACAACAGAAAATAGCTTAGATTTATTTTAAAGTATTAAAATTCTTATTACCCAAAGAGAGAAGAAGAATATTAGGTACTTCAAACCACTAAGACTGCATCTTTCTGCTTAAGTTTTAGCTGTCAAAAGTCTTATGGACTACAGAGTTCCCTCAGGTGAAAAGCCACAAAAACATACATTTCACCAGAGTTGTTCCCCCTTTTTTTTTTTAGTTTCTTTCTGCTTTTGGTCACTCAGCAATATTTTCAAATAGTTGGCTAGTTTTTTTTTTTTAATATTTTGTCTAGAGGTTATAACTGCAATATGCAGGAGATTTAGTCTAAGACAAACTACTCTGCTATTACCAAAGTACTGAAATCTGCTCTATCTCAAGCCAATATAATATACCACAGTATATTATACTCTTAAGTCTCATACTCCTATGATCGGATATCTTCTGAACATTTCTATCTGATCCAAAAACATATCCAACTCAAAATATTTAAAAGTTTATTAACCAAGTCCTATCCATTCTTACCAACCCCTCTGGCCACAGTCACCACTACCAAACTTGCATTTTAAAAAATTCTATTCATCTATGAATGGCAGCTACCATGTTGCAAGAGAAACAAACTTTGGACACTTCCCAACTCATTTCTCTCACCCAACTAATCTTCAAGGTATACTGATTTTACCATCAAAGCAGCTCTTATCTGTCTTCTTCCTTCTATTTCCACTGTCCTGGGTACTTCTCTCCCTTCAAACATTGCTAATAATTCCTAACTAGTTGTCTTGCTTCAAGGCTGGCTTCCAATCTATCTTCCATTCTGGGCTTGATATGATCTTCCAAAAAATATAACTATCTGTACCATTCTTCTATTCACAATCCTTCAAAGACTTTCCAGTATTTATCTAGAATGTAATCACTGTTAACTACAACGGCATATAAGTTTCTGAACAGAGTCTAGTTCTTGCCTATCTCTTATTTCCAAGCACTCCCTCCCACCTCCTCTTAAATAGAGCCATATAAATAAATAATTTAGGGTCTCTCACATCTTTGTAGATGCTATTCACACTGTGTGGTTCCTTTCCCATTTACCTGCACTTCATATTACACTACCTCCTCCATGAAGACTTCCCTAAGCCTCAACAGAGTTAGGTATTCTGTCTTTCACACTCTAAGATCCTAACAATATTCTTCTGTAATACTTATTTTGCATCTTTGTTTTCTTGCTAAACTATAAGTTATGTGAAGGTAGAAAAGATATCCTTTCATGTTTCTATTTCAAACACTGGTTCTCCAAGTGGACATTACCATATTTTTACAGGGCACTCTCAGAGTGCTTTGTTTTCACAAAAATTGAGAATACCTTAGGGATTTAATGGGGTGAGCCAGGAAATGCTAAACATACTACAAGATAAATGAGAGTCTGCACACACGCAAACTGTCTTGTATTCCAGGTCTTTGAAATGTCCCATAGACACTTAGTGAATAAAAAGCCACATTTATAATTATCTGAATCTATAACTTAACTCCATTTTATAATTAAAACCAAATTTTAAAACATTTTTATATATTAAATTTATCAGAAATATATATCAGTGATTGATTATATCTTTTTTTGTTGTTCATGCCATTAGCAAGAGTTGTTAGCATCCTGAAAACTCACGTCTCTAATAACAAAACTAGTTTCAGTATTTGAGTAATCAAAAGAACACACTTATAAAACACAGCTACATTACCAGCCTTCTGTACCTTCATCCTTTCCTTCCTCCCTCCTTTCCACTCTTTATTTAATTAGGTATGTAGATATATTATTTTTTTATCTATCATTTTTATTTAAGGATAGTAAATGACAAAGGGTAAGCTCAGTATTAGGCTATAAACTTAATAAAAATCAGGGGAAAATAAATTGTTTAAACTGACAGCTTTATTTTTTAAAATGATGCAAAAATTTGATGTTCTAATTGATGCATAAAAATAGGACTATAATTATTTCATAATTTACATGGTAAAGTTAATTTACTTCAATTTTATTTCTCAGTTACACTTAGTTACATTTCTTAATTACATTTTATTTCTTTTTAGAAATAGGGAAGGATGCTCCACAACATATTACACATATGCATATGTAAATCTTGATTCGTTGAATCCCTGCAGAATGTGGTCTATTCATTCATATATTAATATCCTGTTAATCCACTGATGAGATTAATCAGCAACAACAAAAATTACCAAATCACTCCTACCCAGATTTAGTAAAATATACGTCAGTGTCACACTCTCCAACTTTTTGATTAGAATATGGCCTATGAAAAGGATTAAAAAAACTGAAGAACAAGAATTTACACTTAAAGAATAAATGATACCAGGTACACCCAAATTTCACTTCCACTCTGTCTTCCCTCATCCTTTCTCCTCTATGATTAAACTCCAGCTTTTCTTATCATAGACCAGTTTATTCTACAATTAAGGATTTTTTTAATGCTGCAATGAGCAATAGTGCAAAACTTTCCAAGAAAGAATCCAGAATATTCTAGTAGTTTAAGTACCCAACTATTAGAATAAGACAGGTAAGGGGAAACTGTAGTTTGATAATCATCCTTAAGAAATATGTACTACATATAACACTGATTTTTATCTAGTACCATAGTTTTATAGATTACACCATTTTACCTAAGTATGATTGACATGCAATATAATATCAGTTTCAGGTTTACAACATAGTGATTAAACATTTATATACATTACAAAATGATCATGACAAGTGCAATTACCACTTATCACTTTACAAAGTTGTAATACTATTAACTATTCTCTATGCTATACTTTATATCTCAGTGATTTCATTTTATAATTTGAAGTTTGTAGCTCTTAATCCCCTTAACCTATTTCACTTATCTCCCCAACTCTCTCCCCTCTGGCAACTCCCAATAGGTTCTCTGTATTTCTGAGTCTGTTCCTATTTTACTTTTTCATTTGTTTTGTTTTTTAGAATCTACATATAAGTCAAATCATATGGTATTTTTCTTTCCCTGAGTTACTTCACTTAACATAATGCCCTCTAGTCCATCCATGTTATCACAAATGTCAAGATTTCGTTCTTTTTTTTAGGGCTAAGTAATATCCGTGTGTGTGTGTGTGTGTGTGTAGAAAGAAAGAGAGATTCATTCATCTACTAATGGGACACTTTGTTGTTTCCATATCATGGCTACTGTAAATGATGCTGCAACGAACACAGGAGTGTACTATCTTTTTGGATTAGTGTTTTCAGATAAGTACTCAGAAGTAGAATTGCTGATCATATGGTAATTTTAATTTTTTTTTAGTAATCTCCATACTGTTTTCCATAGTGCACCAATTTGCATATTCACCAACAGGACAAAAGAGTTACCTTTTCTCTACATTCTCACAAACACCAAACACTATTCTTTCTTGCTTTTTGATACTACCATTCTGATAGGTGTGAGGTGGTATCTCATTATAGTTTTTTTTTTCTTTTTTTTTTTTTTTGGTTTTTTTTTTTTTCTTTTAAAGATTTTATTTGGGATCCCTGGATGGCGCAGCGGTTTGGCGCCTGCCTTTGGCCCAGGGCGATCCTGGAGACCCGGGTTCGAATCCCACGTCGGGCTCCCGGTGCATGGAGCCTGCTTCTCCCTCTGCCTGTGTCTCTGCCTCTCTCTCTCTCTGTGTGACTATCATAAATAAATAAAAATTAAAAAAAAATAAAGATTTTATTTATTCATGAAGACACAGAGGCAGATACACAAGTAGAGGGAGAAACAGGCTCCCCGTAGGGAACTCAATGCAGGACTCAACCCCAGGACATTATCTCAGCCAAAGGCAGATGCTCAACCACTGAGCCACCCAGGTGCCCCCCTTCATTGTAGTTTTCATTTGCAATTTCCCTGATGATTAGCGATCTTGAGCATCTTTTCATGTATCTGTTGGCCCTGTTTGCGTTTTTGAAAAATGTCTATTCTGATTCTCTGTTCACTTTTTAATCAGATTGTTTGTTTTGTTGGTGTAGAGTTGTAGAGTTCTTTATGTATTTTGGATATAAACTCCTTATTGGATATATCATTTGCAAATACATTCATTCCACCAATCAGTAGGCTGCATTTTTGTTTTTCTGATGATTTCCTTTGCTATGCAAAAGCTTTTCAGTTTGATGTAGTCCCAACTGTTTGTTTTTGTTGTCCTTGCTTGAGGAGGCAAATTCAAAAACATATTACTAAGACAAACGTCAAAGAGCTTAATGCCTAGGTTTTCTTTCAGGAGCTTAATGGTTTCAGGTCTTACACTTAAGTCTTTAATCCATTTTGAGTTTATTTTTGTGTATACTGTTAAGATGGTAGTCCACTTTCATTCTTTTGCTTGTAGCTGTCCAATTTTCCCACACCACTTACTGAAGAAATAGTCTTTACTTCATTATATATTTTTGCCACCTTTGTCATAGATTTACTGACCAAATAACTGTGAGTTTATTTCTGGGCTCTCTGTCCTGTTCCACTGATCTATGTGGCTCTTTTTGTGTCAGTACCATACTGTTTTGATTACTACAACTTTATAATATAGTCTGAAATAAGGAAGTGTGTGATACCTCCAATTTTGTTCTTCTCAAGATTGCT